CCCCCATTACGACTCTCATGTTAATACCCCTAGATATGCAACTGAGACATAACCATTTTTATTATCCTTTTTCAATATAAATTGCTTACCACATTAGATTCCTTGTAGACTCAAATTGGAAGGTTATCCTTATACTGCCACCTACAGTTATGAAATTTCACCACTGTTTCCAAAATTGAAGAGCTCCAGAATAGTGAAAAACCACTCAACCTGCACAAAATAGATAAATTATTGACACAATGAACCACTTAAGCAACAGGAAAAAACTATTACTATAGTAATGATATTGATAATAATATTATTACTATAATATCACATATTAATGCTTTTATTGAATGTTCAGAGTATTTCCTTGGACATTAAAGCAATAAGCATAGTAATTTAAAAACTTGTTATGTTGATCAGTGGCACAAAATGAAGCACTTTATTCTTTCCAGTGCACAAACCAGCATGCTTACTATCATGATTCCTTATGTTTTAGTAGCTTCACTATTACCATCTGCTTTACTTTAGACAAGTATTTTTATACCTTGTGCCCACTGATAATTTTGAATAAAAATTAAACTTTATTTTTGACCAGTTGGTGCCAGCCCCCCCCCCCCAAAAATTTTTTTATTGTGCCCCTGCTGCCTTAAAATCCCCCAAAATAAGACATCTATATTTTCTTTCTAATTTATATAAATTTAAAGCATTTTCAACCCCATTACAACATTGTTTACATTCATAAGTAAAATATATTTTTGTTTTCTCCTAGAATTTTTGGGCAAAACCATTTGCTATATAAAATGACAAAATATAATTTTTTTCCAGCTCACCATTTCTTTCATTTTAAGTTGTATTTTAATTTATACAATGTTTTAAAAAATTTGGACCTCTTGGGAGACCAGTACTTCAGTTGTATGGAAAGGGCTTACTACAGGGATTTGTATATTGCAATTTACCGTGATCAAATGAAAATAGATATTCTCTGACGGCTGATAAGGAACAAGCAGGGCTAATAATTTTTAAATTTTTTTTATTGGCTCATTTCAGCAAAGATAACAAAAAAAATCCCCAAAATTAAAAAAATAAATATCAAAATTCAGGATGAGTGAGTAGCAGAAAAAAATGTGATACAAAGCATGTTCTTCTTAGAAATATTGTTAATTATTTATTTATTTGTAGGTACACAGGCCAGTGATTACCAGTAGCAAATATATCACAGTCTTACTAATAGGTGGCAATCCCTAATACGCAAGACACAATTCAGTTTATTTGATAGTCACCTCCAAAAAATAGATAAAAATGGTCAAAATACAGAAGACAATGTAAATATAAAAGCAGAAAAGAGAGAAAACAGATGTGAATAATGTTATAAAGGGAAAGATTCACATGTGAAGAATACAAAATTTTCAGTCACCATCTTCTGGTCGTAGCCTCAAAAGTATGCCTTTTAAATGCAGCCATTACAAGTTCAATGACAGCTTAATGACATTCGATCCTCTAATAAACCCATAATAAAAAGAAATTTTTCGACCCTAGACATGTATTGGAAGTTTTCATAACATTGTTGGGAAAAAAAGCTTGTTTCTAACATCATAGTAAATCAGGGGCGGGGCCAGAGATGTCCAAAAAGGGGGGGCGAAAGGGGGAAAAAAGTTGAGCCGATCGAGACAACACTATCCTAGGGGGTCCAGGGAATTCCTCCGCAAAATTTTTGTGTTCTAGATGCCCGAAAATAACATTTGAGGTGTTCTGGGCTATCATTTTTTTATTTTTCTTTATTTTTTTCTCCTTTTTTTTTTTTACCTCCCAAAGGGCCGGGCCACCCTTCCCTCTAAATCCACCCTGCAAATGGGGCAGCAGATTGTAAATTACACAAAAATATTGACAAAATATGCTTTACAACTAATTCTCATTATGAGGATCAGGGAATGGAGTTGGAGATAAAATAAATGTCAACTAATCACAAGTGACTGGTATATATGTTTTATTTCAAAGGATTTTTTTTACGACTGGTGATTAGTCAGAAATCATACTTGAGGTTGAATATCAGTGTTCTTGACTTGCATTAACTCATTAACTAATCTGGTAGCAACAGCTGGCGTAACTAACACCAGTTTGGTGGAATAGCATGTGGCGTAATATAATCCACTGAAAAATTCAGACAGTAAAATAATGTAGGAACTTTTACTGCTCCAACTGCTCCCAGTACCTGCTATTGCTACGAGATAGCCTTATCAATGCATCTTGGGAAAAGATTATATCAAGCCCGTAAGAACCAGTTTATTATTGGTCCGGCCCAGAACACGAATTCCCCCACCTCCTACTTTTTAGGAATCTTATTTTTACTGTTTTGAGTCAAGAAGACATTGCTGCACATCTTAAACTTGGTAATGGACCTTGAATTGAACCATGAACCAAAAACCATTGCATTAACAAGAGAACATTTTAAGAGTAGGCCCAGACAAGCGCATACATACCAAGTCTCACGCATCCGACGTGAGCCTCACACTGTTCACAAACATCAAGCTCTCAAGCCACTCACTTAAAATCTCGCGCTTTTCCACAAATCTCAAGCTTTATTTTATTAAACCCAAACATTTTATTGAAATACTCGAAACCTTCGCAATTCTATAGCTTATCAGGCCTACTGTAGAATCATCGAAAATTTTGTCGTTCCTATTCTAGCTACAATCCAAAGAATATAGATAGAGCACTAGAAATCTATTTCAGAGGGCACTAAGCCCAAAATTTTTTGGGGCCCTAGACGTGCCCTCGACTCACACCAATTGGGTTTATTTCCTGTTAAATCAAGCAACTAGCTACCTCCAACTTGGCATGTATACAAGTGCCTAGGTTTGACAATGCTATAACTGAATGCAGAAGTTAGAATTATGTTTTAATGTAAATAATACAGTGTATTGTGAAATGGTAGAAAAATTTAGTGTTCCTCATCTGCATGAAATGAGATGTGTATTCTTTGGTTAATAATATATATATAAACTAATATTAAATACAATAAAAATAACAACTATACATGAATTTATACTGTTACTGTAGTAGCCACCTTCTTTGGAAGACACATGGCTGTCATTGTCGGGATCTGTTGAGAAAATCACTGCTAGTGTTTACATTGAAACGTAGCCAAGATTTACCATTATGCTACACAAATGTATTTCACTGAAAAAGACAACGGTTGTCTTCTTATTTTTAATTAATTTTTTTAATTTAATTTTTATATTTTTAAATATTTTTTAAAATTTTCTTTTATTGATTAAAAAAAGACTAACTTCCCATGACCCAGGGTGAGACCCTGACAGGTACTCTCCCTCCGGGTCAGCAGGATCCTGGAGGGCAGGGGTGCTCATATCCCTGAATGACCATCCACAGTATATAGTTGTGAGAATGTCTAACGATTACCTTTCTAACTATGAGTTAGTGTTTCTCCATCAGTTCTTGAGAAGCATTGGCAAAAAAAAACTGTGACCCGTATTTATTTATATTTTGTTTTGTAGTATTGTTTGAGTTCATTCCACAATTTTTTAGCATGCAAAACATTGAATTTTTTACTCCCCTTATACTAATGATTGCCTGCGTGCAATACGATAACTGACCATGGTAGTAGACTGCCGAAACATGTCTTGTTGGGGCAGTTAAGGCCATAATATACTGGACTAAATATAGGCTTTGCCTATGATGAAGATACAATCTGAAGTATGTTATCTTTTGAAATTGAGTTTTATTCAATAGGAAGACATGTCAGGTCTGTGCAAATTAATAGAAGTTTCTGAAATTTCACTGAATTATGATTATTCTTTTGAAAGGCTGTTTTAAAACTCCAGAGTTGCAAATATTTAAAAAATTCTCTTTTTCACTTGCTTGTTACAATTTCAGAACTTTTTCCTGATTTCAATTCTTTCCATGTGATTATTCTTTTGAAAGGCTGTTTTAAAACTCCAGAGTTGCAAATATTTAAAAAATTCTCTTTTTCACTTGCTTGTTACAATTTCAGAACTTTTTCCTGATTTCAATTCTTTCCATGTGGGTGTATGTGTTGACATAGTGTAAACATGGGGTAAAGAAAAACGATATTGTGCCTAAAGGACAATTTAGCATTCAAACGATTTTGATTAGATGAAATATTGGCCAAAACTGGACTAGTCGGACTGCTTCATATGGACTACGACAATGATCTTTTTATGTTACTTGCAGTCAAAATATTATTTGAATCTTCTCACCTAAAAGTTCTGCTTATGATTTAAGATGTATTCAAAATATTGTATATTGTATTGCACTGTTGAGCCCTGTGCAATAGGGCTATATAAAATAATCAATTTTATTTAAATTACTTCCTGTAATTAGTTTCAATAATCTGTATTTCACATAGATAGTTCTAAAATGAACTGTTATGTTGTGGATTGGATTGGACTTATTTGGTGTAAACACGAAGGATAGCCCACGAAAGTCTAGAAGAAGACTTATTTCCAGTTGGGTCCTTCTGGTGGTGATTGGGCAGTACACCAGGAGACAATCCCCTACTCTTTTTTGAAGAGTGTACTGCGTTCTTTAACGTGCACATAGGCCATAAATGCACACGGGACGAACATCCCAAACAACAGTACCAAGAACGAGTAAATAAATTGAAATACTCCCCAAAAATATTTAACAAAATAGTACAAATAACGAATAAGTTAATTGAAATACGCCGCAATTAACGCACTACATTCACTGAGAGACGCCCTTGGCGTTTCATAGAAATGACCGGCGGCTCAACCGGTCATAATCTAGCTAGCCTAGAAGAAGAGAAGGTAGGCCTGGTCCTACTAAATAGCGCACGGTAACTCCCAGAAGCTCCCGGGTTGCGTTCGGTGGCTTCCAGCCCGCCCGGTACAGTTAATTAAGGACTTGGAGCTCTGTGTACACTGTACAGTTTTCACTTTATGAAAAGTTTTGTGAACATCCCCTTATTTTTCGATAAAAATATTCTTTTCTTCTTTTTAAGGAACCACAATGTTGAAGCAGAAATTTTATTAGCTATAGGGCCTAGGCTCTAAAGCAAATCAATATCGTCAATCAAAATAATCTCTTAGTTTTTTATTTTCAGGAACCCAAATGTTGAAGCTCCTATCGCAAAATATCAGACCAGACAACAACATGGATTGAAAATATTAATTATACATTCAATGGAATGAATTTCAGTTATCTTGCTGTTTCAAATATACTCATAATACACCACTTTACATACAGGATATACTAGGCTAGACCTTGCCTAGCCTACTAATAGGGAGCCTAATAGTTAGGTAGTAGTTAGGCCAAGGCCTCTCTATCTAGACTGCCAGGGGAAGGTATAAAAACTAGCTTTTTATAAAAGGATGACACGATAGCCAACCCTATCTTAAAGCTAATACTTGTGGACCATGATGCTGTTAAAATACAAAAGTAATTAAGTAGGAAGTTAAAAGAAGCTGCTGTAAAAAATAATTGCTGCATACATTTCTACAATTTTTTGTATATTTTTTACACACAGGTGCTAATCTAACAATTATTTCTATGTGCCCTAGAAACCACACTTATTTGAGTTTTTACCAGTGATATACTCATGACATTATTATTCCATCACCATAGGTTTTTTAGGATGTCACCAGAGAGGTTTGATCATCTGTTGGAATTGATAGAACCTTATCTACAACCAAGGGTCAACAGAGGAAGAGAGACAATCTGTTCTGAAGAGAGGCTTTGTATCACAATTCGGTTTCTGGCTAGTGGCAATAGCATGACAGATATGGCCCTCAATTTCTGTGTGGGCATTACTACAGGTACGTGTAAATCATTCATGAGATTTGAAATTTAAATATTTTATTTATCTCCCACTGGTATTAGTCCGGCAGCTTAGCAGATGGATGTGGACATTCCGGACAAAAGGACCAATTTTTTTTTACATGCTCCTTATGGTCATAGCATTCAATTTTTGGTAGGAACCACCTCATCCGAGGTCATTATGGCAGCCATCTTGGATTTCAAAATGGCCGCCTAAAAAAACCTATGTTTATCTATATCTCCGCTTCTAAACCACTTGGAATTATAATTCTAATGTCTGAAACTATTTTTATATGGTCAAGGAATACAATCATACCATTTTTGACCTGGTCAGATTGCCACAAATAGGTCATTTAAGGTCATTCAAGGTCAGATATTGTATGTTATCTTAAAAATTACATAATTGTCATATTTTACATTAGAACCATACCCAGACTCTCCAAATTCAAAATCTTTACAATGAACTACAATATTTCATTCGAGGTCATTCTGGCGGCCATCTTGAATTTCAAAATTGCTGCCACGCAAATCCTATATTTATCAATATATGGGTTTTTAAACCAATTTAATGAGAATTA